TTTCATTTTTAAGAGAGATGTTGATTTAAATAGTCGATAGTTTAAATAGAAAATGTACAGATTGAAAATAATCAGGGCATTTTCTTAGATTAAATCATTATTTATCCCTATGTTTCCCTTCTGCCTTCATGGTTTTCCTTTAAAAAAAAAGAAGAGAAAAACAACCCCCAAACCTGATGTCATGGTTGCCAGGTGTTATAACAGACTCGAATGTAGACTGTCACAGAGAGTGGAAAGTCCCCATCTCCTCAGCTTCTGTTTACTTTCTCTCCTGTCAAAGTTGAAGCTTCAAAGTGAGCTATAGTTTGGGAGTAAAAACTATGAAGTCACTTCTCCCTCCTGTCTTGGGACATTGGTAGCCTAGTTCTTTGTGGTTTTTACTTGATAAATTGCTGATATTAATGTCAAACTTATACCATTTCAGTCTGCCATGTATGTTTTCAAGATAAGAACAGAGGGCTCCCCCATCTTTTTACATATTTTCCATTGTTCTCTATCCTCATGGTTGTGTTGATGATCATTTTTATTAGACTGAACACAATCATTTACCTGTAGTAATAGTTCTTTGCAATTTCTTTTATAGATTTGGAATGTTAAGATTCTTTTGGTCCAAAGTTCAAGAGTAAAGATCTTGAAAAATTTTTCAGCTTTAAATAGTGCATAATCAGCACTATTCCATTCATACAAACCCTTCTATCAAACATTCATTATTTTATGAGCTTATACAGTGAAACTTGGGAAGAAATGTGTGTGTTGTGGTACACAGAAGCACTGCTAAGGCAAACAAATGTGCTGTTTAGACAGTCTAAATTTTTGAAAATTCACTATTATCGTATATTATACAGTTTAAATTTTTTAAAAAGTTTTATTTATGAATTAGTAAAACTAAATAGTTCACCTTTTTATCCTCCATTTTCATTTTAAACCTTTTTTTTTTAAAGTCCACAGATGCACTTTTGGTGGCAATCGACTCTGAAGTAGTGGGAGCTGTTGATATACTACTTAATCATCGACCAAAATGATCATCAAGACCAACTATAGTAGTTAGTACTCTTAAATGTTTATTAATTTGGATTTTTAAACCAAAATAGATCTCCTGCCCCATTGACATTTTTTTCTTCCTCCAAATTTATTTTGTCTTAAATCGATTTTTTTTTTAACTTGGTAAAAATATTGCTTTAAAGTAAGTAGAATAATATTGCTTTCAGGAAGCCTTTTTTTAAATTAGTGGTATTTGCATAATTTTGTCAATGTGGACCAGTATTTTAAGTTTGTAATATTCTGCAGAGTAAGTTGAAAATACAAAGTAGTTTCCACATAGATTTAAGAATCAAATTTATAAACAATGAAACCATAAAACTGGAAGAAAATGTAGGTGAATATCTAACTGATTGGGAGTGGAAGGACTTTCTAAACATAAAAGCAATAGAAAAAAATCACACTTGCACAGGCTTTGGCTGTAGAGAATTTATATTTCTGGAGTTCAGACATCAGGCAGAATTTAGAAAGTATCTGGATAACTGGCAAAAGATACTTTCGATATATATCACAAATTCATAATCTTAATATTAGACAAACTGATAAACACATTAAAATCAGAAAAGGACATGAGAAAAACTCAGAAAAGAAAATACAAAATACTAAACCTTACTGACATCAAATACAAGATACTAATTTTTTATTATGAAATTAGCAAAGATTTTTAAAAAATGATAATCACTGATGGCAGAGGACTAAATAGTACAGTTTCATAAGCCGTTGCTTGGGAGGGTATTTTGGAAAGCACTTTGGCAGGGCGTGTCATAAACAAGAAAAATGTTCATATTCTTTAACTTAGTGCTTTCTCACCTACAATCTTATCAAGGCAGTGGTCAGAAATGTGGATAAAAATGTTAATTGTAATCTTATTTGTGGCAAAGAAAAACCATGTAACACAATCTAAACATCTCAAAATGGAAGATTAGAAATAGAAATAGTTGCATATATGTAAAAGTGATATTTTTAAAAGGATATTTAGGAACATGGAAAAATATGATACAGGAAATGAAAAAACTGAGAATAGTAAACTACATATAATATGATCCAAGATTAAAAATATGCATAGAAAAGGAACTGTATGGAAATGTAGAAAAATGTTACCTAACAGCAGTCATCTCATTGCCAAATTAAGGATATTTTTTTCTTACTCTTTTTATTTTTCTTTCTTTCTTTTGTAATTAGGAAGATGACCATTAGTAATCAGATAAATTCTACTTTAAAAATGAGATTTTTGTTGTATATCAACACTTTTAACTTATAGTATTACTGGTGAGGATGCAGTGAAACGAGCAGTTTAAATAACTGCTGGGAATGTAGACTGGCTTTGCTCAGAAAAAAAATATTGTTTTAAGAAAGAATTCTAAATTGGTTGCAGATTATCTGCCATTATCTGAGAATGATGAGAAACTCTGCTAAATTGCATACTTTATAATGTATTAACTGAAATATTTTACTCAAATTTAGACCATGTAAAAGTGTGTAAGCATGACTTTCTTCAGAGGATAGTACCAACTAGTTTAAGTGGTGGTGAGAAACCAACAGGTATAGAGGAAAAAGGGCAAAAAATGTAGCCCCTGTCCAGAAGACCAGAAATATTTACAATCTCGTTCAATTTTCTGTCATCTATCTTGCAGTCACTATTATATTTTGGTATATCTATTCCACCTTCTAGCCTTTTAACCCATTTACTTTATTGATGAGGAGGGTGGGGTATGCCAGCCAGGGTATTGGAGCAACTGCTGGTATTATTTCATCGCCATTACCACTACTAGTTGAATCTTGGGTTATAAGGCCATGGCCGTCTTCACCTGCTCAGTGAAATAACACTTTCTACTTTATTTCTGGCAAAAAAGCCTTTGAATACTTCCAGTGACAGCAAGATCATATTTTAACGCCCCATTACTTCTAGACAGGCAATGTCAAATATTTTATGTACTTTTTTTTTTTACCATTTCAGTGAATTCATTCTGTATTCTTGGCTTATCAAAATTGTCTTTTGATAAATTTTGACTTTCAAATGCAGGTTGTTTTTTTGATAGTATGTAAATTATATTATGAACGATGAAATTATGGACTTTTATCTACTTCCAATAGTGTTTCTCATATAGTTAAGTATGTTTCATAGGAAAAATTTAGGACCGTTTTCTCATAGGGATTGAATACAATTATCTCCTTTTTATAACCAGTAATAAGGGGGAAAGGGTGAATTTTTCAATGTTTCTATAATTTTAAAATAAATTTATTAATTTCAAATTCCCAAAAAATAAATGGAAAGTATATAAATTATAAAAGGTGGGAAGATAAGTATGTCAGAAGATAGTAAAACTTACCAGTACTCAAAGGAAAATAAATCAATACTTTGTGATAGTTTTTTTCACTCATAAATTGCGAGTGATCATGCCTAGTTCTGGTGAGTAAAACTTAGGAGTGAAATGGGTACATTCCTATATTATTGGTAATATAAGCTGTTAAAGGACTTTATATGTATCAAGAGCTTCAAAACTGTATAGATCATGGCCTTTTGATCTATAATTCCACTTCAGGGGGTCAATGTTAATTAGTTAATCCTAAATTTCAAAAAAGTTGTGTTCATAAAGACATTTGTAGTATTGTTATTTAAATTTGCAAAAATAAAATATCCTGAATATGTAGGTTGGTCTATGAACTCCCTTAAATTGCATGCAAAATTCTTTACATGAATTTATTTCTGGAAGATTCTGGACTATAGCTTTATGGGATCATTAAAAGTGTCCTTGACCTTCAAAATATTAGAAACCATTGTTTTTCATCATTGGTGTGAAATTATTTATGCCAAAGATGTCCTTAAAAGGGGGTGTGTGGAGAAAGGTTCAGAGAGAAATACTGTAAAATGGTTTTTGAGTAGTAGGAATATGAGTATTTTTATTCTTCTTTCTGCTTTTCTATATTTTTCAGATTTTTTTAATGTGCGCACTACTTTTACAATGTTAATAAAATTACAGAAAACCTGTGAACTTGATCAGCTTATTCTGTGGAATCAAAAAACTCAGGAAAAACTCTGTGAAAAAGTGAGAAGTAGTTGAAAGAATATGCAATAGTCATAAGATAGTCAATGTTTTTATTTAACCTTGGTTCTTTATTTGTTAATGTTTTTTTCTTCGTGTCATGCCATCACCAGTCCCATGAGCCCATGCAGTGAAAGGGGCTCAGGCTCTGGAGTAATACAAATCTGAGTTCTGATCTGCACTTTGCCACCCTGTTGTATACCTCAGGCACATTAACTTCTCTGAGCCTCAGTTTCTTCATGGGGATTATAATGCTTAATTTTGCAGATTATTGCGGGGATTAAATGAGATGATAAATGTAAAGTGTCTAACAGTTCAGGATTCATTAAGTGGTAACTATGATTATTAGTGCTTTTGTGTATTTGTAACAGGAGATATTATAGGTTATGACTGGGAATATATAGAGAATTATACAAAATAATGAGTGCTTCCTATTTACTTATTCCTTTGAAGTAGCTTCATTGCTATCAATGTGACAAGGTTTGCCATGGAGGAGAAATTTTTAAAGATTTTCTCATGCATTTATGCTCTGCCTATTTTTAACGTTTCTTTTTCACCATTATATTGTGTTTCCAAAATTTTTGTTCTTTGTCCTTGTCATGCATGTTTCCATAATCTTGTGAAAATTAAACACTTTTTCCTAATATATTTCTCTAGACATCCTGACTTCTTTGTTAGGAAAACAGAATTTTAGTTGTATGAGTGTTTTTTATTGAGGATTTTGTTTGTCATGATTATATTGCATATATTAATTAAAGTTAAATTTTGAGGTTTCAAAAAAATTTCATCGTGGTAAAATGTTTATCCTATTCCTAGTTCTTATGGTCTTTGTGCCTTCCAATTTGTTTCAATTTATTCTTCAGATAAATATGTTCTTTTGAAATCACAAATAACTTCGAACATATAAATATTTTCCAGAAACTAATGGAGCGGATTCAGAATCCTGAGTATTCAACAACTATGGACATTGCACCTGTCATTTTAGCTGCTCATCGTAACAACTATGAAATTCTTACAATGCTGTTAAAACAGGATGTATCTCTACCCAAGCCCCATGCAGTTGGCTGTGAATGTACGTTGTGCTCCGCAAAAAACAAAAAAGACAGCCTCCGACATTCCAGGTTAGAAAATTAAGATTTTGATAAATAGACGTTTGATGCAGCAAAATGTATGTCAATGAAGTTTCTTTTTTAATTGTTGTTCTTACTATGTAGCTTTTAAAAACTATGGTATTAGGATGACTTATGAAAGCCAAACTTCTAGCCCCTTTGCTTAATGCAATGAGTTCTGCATTTTTTAGAAATATTTATTAAATTATGAATAATTAGGAAAATCTTTCAAATTATGAAAAGGTTTATCTCATACTCCTGCTGGTGGGGGGTGGGGGCACTATTTGCTTTTTAGAAACAGAGTTTATTAATCTAGGAGAATTTTTAAGTAGTAGAAGGGGTGGAGATACTACTTCCTATCTTATGTATAAGAAAATAAAAATTGTTTTGTCTCATTAAATATTCAACCTGTTATGCCTCTTACCTCCCCTCTTACACAATATTAAAATCTATTTCTCTTCCTGTTCTCCCCAGCTGAAAAACCGAGGAGTGAATAAATGAGAAAGTATCCCATCTTGGACAGGTTGAGCAAAATCTCATGTGTTATATAAGGTGTATGGTTCTGGACCAGACTTGAGATTCTAATTTTCAGTATAAGCACCCATGCCTGTCTCTCTGTCTCTTTTTTTCTCTGTCTCCCTGTGTCTCTGTCTCCTTCTCTCCATATAATTATAACTATATATAGTAATCAAATATAGATATATATTACTAGATATATTACTATAACATACATAACGTATATATTACTATATAGAGAGAGTAATCAAATATAGTTGAAATAATATCAAGTGTAATATTTACTATGGAAAATGTGGACTAGAAGTCCCAGGCAGCTTGTTGACAAACTGTTTTTTAGTTGAGTATTGTTGCATAGTATATAAAATTAGCTTTAAAGCTGCAAACCATCTACCCTCACTGCTTTCTCACCTTAAGAGCAGTTCTTTAGTAGACTGACAGTCACAAATCCATAAATTGGGAAAGTCTCCTGGGAACCAATGTAATGTTTATTTGCAGAGTTCGAACTGGAAATTTTTTCCATTTTCAAGTCTGTTTTACAATGAGATCTCTGTTTCTCTGTGATAAGATCTAGTTGATAGCTATGGCTATCATTTACCCTTTTAGTTTTAAAATGACTAGTCTATAAAATGACAAGAAGAAATGATCTTTAAGGCTTCCTCTAGTTTTAAAAATCCTTTATTAATATTAAATATAAATATTTTCCAAATAGTATGCTTGTTAAATATGTTTGTAGTTGATGTTGCTGACGTATGGGGGGCGGGGCTGGAAAGAACACTTTACCTGGCTTGGTTTGAGGTAGGAAAAAAACTCGTTCTGAAAGCTTTTAGAGGAGCTATAGCTTGAGCTCAGTCTTTAAGTTTGTTAGAAGTAAAAGGTGAAAGGCATTTTATGCAGAAAGTACAGTATGTGATTTTAGTTTATTTGGGGAACTGCGAATGGTTCGGTATATTTGTGGAAGAGTTTGAGAGTTTGTTATTGATGTTTGAGAGAACAGTTATAATAAATGTCAAAGGGCCCGGACTAAAGTCATTTTCAGGAATTGCTAAGTAGACCTGCAGAAGAAAGGAGGCTAACAAAATGAGTAAAAAGAGGTGGGGGGAAATGTTTTGATGAAGTTGAAGAGCCACTGTACTGGCAATAAAGAAGCAAGGCAATCTGTACTTACAAGATACTGATTTTTAAATTTCAGAGGTGGTGTAGTTCTAGGTGATGGTAAGGTCTAGAGGCAATAATCTTAAATGAGTTAGGGAAGGATAGTGGACCATTGAGTTTAGAAAGACATTTTTAATAATAGAATTCCTATGCTTTAATTTTTATCAACTCTAAATGATAGCTTTGCTGGATAACGTATTCTTGGTTGTGGATGCTGGGTCTTCATCCTATCGAATATTTTTTTGCCAAGCCCTTCTGTCCTGCATAGTTTCTTTAGAGAAATCAGCTGCCAGTTTTATGGTTTAATTTGATGTGTTATGAAATTTCAGGTAACTTTAGGGAAGATTTGAAATCTTTATTATCTTTCAAAGGAAGACAAAGTTTTAAAAAAGTTAAAAAATGCTAACGAGAGAGATAGCAAAGTAATGAACTGCCAGTTAAATTTAATTTGCAGAAGTGCTTTGTTTAATCTGAAATATGTTCTCATAATTTTGAATTTGAATGCTTGTAAACTCATGTAGACTCAGCTTTACTCATATTATTACTCCACCCCTGAAACAATTGAATTTGTAAAACCTAGCTAGGTATCTATCAAGAGAGTAGGATGTTGGCATTGAGAAAAATCAGTGAACTATGAAGCAAAAGTAATCTTAGGAATGTGGAATTCTTTTAATAAGAAGTATTTTAGTTATACAAGCAATGTGTCAATAAATCTTTAAATCCTTGTGAAAATTCTAACTTTAATTTTGATTGGAAGTTTCTCGATCAATCCTTATTCTCCTCCCCTCTATAGAGCTAACTAACCACAATTAGTTTGATGTTCTACATCTGCTCCTTAGTTGCTAATATTCTCACTGGTTAGAAACGTGACTCTTAACTGCAGTGTTAAGTTGGAAACTAGTTTCTTCAATGTCTCTCAGTTACATGTTGAAATTAGAAATTCCCTCTCCCAATTTCTGTCTGTGCAAATTGCATTCAAGTTTCTTCTCATATTTCATTTTACTCAGTTGTTACTAATCTTGCCTCATCTACTCCAATTCTTCTTATGATTTTTCAAATATTTAGGTTGAACCATTTGAAATTACTGTTTTAAAAGTACTTTGGGGAATATGTAATTGCATATTTCCATATTCTTCTTGGTGTGAATGAAACCAAAACCCCAGAGAGTTACGTAGAATAAAATGACATAACTCCACAGGCCTCAAAAATTTTCTTTTTAAAAAGTATTGAAATTGATGATTTGTAGTAAACGTATATAGTTGTATACCATCGCCATAATCTAGTATTCTAATTCTAGTATTCTAGTATTCTTTCATCACTGGAAAAAGTTTTCTCATGCCTATTTATGGTCAATCCCTGCTCCCATCCCCAGCTCCAAGTCAACCACAGATCTTTTTCTGTCTGTAGTCTACAGCTTTTTCTTTACTAGACATTTCATATAAATAGAATCATACAATATGTTGACTTATATCTCTAGCTTCTTTCACTTAACATAATTTTTTTGAAGTTCATCCATATTGTTGCATATTTCAATGATTTATTCCTTTTAATTGTTGAGTAGTATACCATTGTAAGGATTAGCGTTTTGTTTATCTTTTCACTAGTTGATGGACATTTGAGTTATTTCCAGTTTTTGGCAGTGAACATTGATATACAAGTCTTTGTGTGGACATATGTTTTTATTTCTGTTGGGTAGATACCCAGGAATGGGATTACTGGTTGGTATGATAAGTGTATGTCTAACTTTTTAAGTAACTGCCAAACTGGTTTTCCAAAGGGTACATTTTACATCCTCACCAGTGATGTATGATGGTTCTAATTTCTCAACATACTTATCAACACAATGTTAACCTTTTTTTATCTTAACCACTTTAGCAGAAGTGTAGTATTATCTCATTGTGGTTTTAATTAGAATTTAATTAAACTTATGTCATATGATGTCAAGTATCTTATCATATGCTTTTTTTAAAAAAAATGTATTTAATTAGTTTCAAGTATACAGTACATTGGTTAGATATCTATATAGTTCATAAAACAATCCCCCCAATTGCTCCCTTCCTCCTGACCCTCCACCTAGCCAACGTATTCATGCTAACTGCATTCTCTATGCCGTGCTCCCTATCCCTGTGGCCTTCCATCAGCTACTAATTTGTACTTCTTTAACCCTTCGCCCATTCTCCTAGCCTCCCAAACCCCGCTCCCTTCCATCCATCACCAAATTGTCCACTATATTTGTAAGTCTGTTTTTGATTAGTTCTTTTTATTCCTTAGATTTCGCATATAAGTGAAATCATAAGGTGTTTATCTTTCTCTGTATGACTTAAATACCTTCTAGGTCCATCAAAGCAATATCTTTTTCCATCCCCTTCCTTTTAGTCTGTGTGTGTCTTTTAATCTGGAGTCTCTTATAGGCAACATGTAAAGGTCTTGTTTTCCTTTCCATTCATCCACTCCTTTAGTTAGAGCACTTAATTCTTTTCCATTTGAGGTACTTATTGATAGGAATAGGGTTGTTACCATTCTTTATTCCTGGTTTTGATACATGTTTTTTCTTCTTAAGAAGTCTTTTCAACATTTCCTGTAATTCTGGCTTGGTGGTGATAAATTCTTTCAGCTTATTTTTGTCTGGGAAGCTCTTTATCTGCCCTTCAACTCTAAATGATAGCTTTGCGGGATAAAGTATTCTTGGTTGTAGATGCTGGGTCTTCATCCTATCGAATATTTTGTGCCAAGCCCTTCTGTCCTGCATAGTTTCTTTTGAAAAATCAGCTGCCAGCTTTATGACTGTTTCCTTATAGGTAACTATCTGTTTATCTCTTGCTGTTTTTAATAATCTTTCTTTGTATTTAATCTTTGGCATTTTAATTATGATGTGTCTTGGTGTGGGCCTCTTTGGATCCTTGATTTTTGGAATCCTCTGAGCTTCCTGGGGTTTTATGTCCATTTCCTTCACCAGTTTAGGGAAGTTTTCCATTGTTATCTCTTCAAACAGCTGTTCAACATCTTGATTTTCTTCAGTTACACCAATCAGACAAATATTTAGACCCTTAATAGTGTCCCATATCCTCCTTAAATTATTTTTATAGTCTTGGCATCTCATCTCTTTCCATTCTGATTACATGTCCTTGGCTTTCCCATCCTTTAAATAGGGCATTTGATCCTTTTCTTTATTCTCTTCATTTATTCCTTTGTTTATTTCATTTAATATACTTCTCATATCCAAAAGTTCATTGAGCATCTTTAAAACCAGTGTTTTGAACTCTACATCTTTTAGATTACTTGACTCCATTACATCTGGATCTCTGTTCTGTTCTTTCACATTGTTTCTGCTTCTTTGTCTT